ACCTACACTTATTTTTAACTAGGTGTTTTATGTCATACGACAGTACTGATCTTTGATTGATTCCTAGCCCGGATTCAGCAAATTTTTATTTCCATAATTTTTAATTTTTTTTATAACTCTTATGTTGCGTAACACTTATCGATGGTCATTAGATCAATATCTCAAACATAAATCAAAATCAATGTCACAATATATATTGCACCCCTAGTGTAAAATGGTCTTTAATTTAATTTATAGATGTATTGTAATTCCATAGTTTTGTTTGTTATTTTTTGAATCTGGAAATCAATACATCAATATAATGGGTAGTTTAGAACCGTTCTGCATTCACTTCAGCTCAATAGATAAATTCTACCTATCCCCTAATAAAAGGATTATTTTCTGTAGGGACAGTCCATATAATCATTCACGAGCGCTATTGACTCGACCCACAACAGTATCCTTTTATTACAAGGTAACCCTAGAAAATAACCACTGACCACTGTATTTTCAAATTGTAGGTATGGGTAGTTCAACATCAGTAAACAATATTTATGATGCCTTCAGAAAGCCAGTGAAGTCTTTCATTTACGATGTTCACGGTCACTGCAATACATTACAGCCAGTTCCGACAACCGAGAAATTTAAAAGAACCCCAAAAGGCAATCAAATGACAATATCAAATTATTTTTAAAGCTCCCCTATAGCTAATCATGCGAAATAATGAAAAAAGAGTAGCTACTTCTCATAAACTCTTGATTTTCCCCCATAATGAGATTGTATGTCTATTAAACTTCCTTTTCAGTGTAATTCAATAGCTGAGAGGCAGGAGCTTTCTTTGAACAATAGCATTTGGGCCCTCTATAAATTTAAACGGCTTGATCTGATTTGTGCGATGCCGCTGCTGCTTCAACATCACAACAAACATTACCTATTTATGAATTCAAACAATGTATTCATAATCTATTATTAAAACTCTTCAACTTCGTTAACATTGCATTGTGTGAGAATGTGTTCACAACAATTTCATTTTAATATCGTAATATCAAAGAGCAAAATTATGCTTTATTAGTAAAAATTGTAGGAATTTTACATATTTTTAATATCGGAATTAAAACGCGAAAATATTTACAATCCAATAAAATATATATTTATTCGAAAACACAAAAATAATTTGTTGGAAGTAATAAACGCCGCTTATTAAACAAATTAAATTTCGCAGTAAAATCTTTATCGACTAATAATCCGCAAGTAGAGACATTGTTTACGAAAACAAAAGTAATTGCGTTTTCAAGTGTCGCTATCAACAGCATTTTCCTCTATTGTGAAGTCAAGTTGTTCGGTTTGTCATTTTAATGTTATCGACGCAATTCAATTTGCTTTTAAAATCGAACTTCATATCCACACAATAGCGTATCGAGGTGATTAACATTTCTGCTGACAGGTAAGTTATGTAAGAAAAACGTGACACTGTTCTAAAAGGCTGAATTTCTCAGACTAACGAACAATGTTTTACAAGACAACCAGCCTCGTTTTACTGAGACAAACACAAAAACGTGTAGAACTTAATTCTAACGTTATTTCAAATCATTCCAATACAAAGAATTCAATCGGATTAAAAAACGTCTAGTAGAAACGGTTTACAATTGATTCAATATGTTACTTAACGGTAAGCTGATAGTTATTTACGATATAAGCAACGTAATGTGACATTTTACAATACTAGATGATAAAATTATAACCACGCCATACACAGCCAGGATAAAGATTTTGTACATTATTATACAATAAAGCAACCCAGTTGGAATTTTATTATACATATTTTATACATTGTCAATTTGTATTAAAAAATTACAATCGCTCAGAAAATGTGAAAGAAACATAATAAATGTAGTCTAGATATTGAAACGGCATCTAATGGAGTTTCTTTGACGCTGATTCCAATAAATTCAAGAATCAAATATGAGTTGGGGTGCAAAAAATCATTGACGATATACGTGAGGCAAAGAAAATGTTACGAGATAAACCCACGTTTCTGGAAAATTACAATGTCAAAGTCGTCAACGTTATAGGCATCAGCAGAAACATCAAACAGATGTTTATTAGCAAATCTCTCTAGTTATAGTTGCAGTTTAAAATAGTCAATACTGGCGAAAGACTTCTGACAAGTGTACACCCGACCACTGAAAATTATAGCAATAAATTCTTTACGAGAGTCATCAAAGTGAGAAGAAAAATTACAGATTTATGACATCGTTGAGTAGTTTGTAGGAATTAACTCTGTGAATAAAGGTTGTAAATTATTATTACCATGATCCCAAGAGGGTCAACTTGCAGTCGTACGTATTAGCAAGACAATCAGTATAATCTAATAAGGTCTCACCAACTATATGGTATTTACTTTTTTTAATAGTACATTATAATACGAGTATATACCTCAAAACAAGCTGTTCTGCAATTGCCGACGACAGTACGAATTCAATTCGCCACAATAATTCTAATTCGGTTTTAAAAATCTAAAATAATCCACGGCAATTCAATTAATTCAATTTAATGCGCCGTGAAGTCAAGAATTTGACGCTGAATTATAAAAAAACGCAACAATTCAATTTTTTTCAGGATTACATTGATTAACTGACCAACAATTTCACCGTTTGTTAGTCTCATGTTTTCCCAAATCTCATACCGTTCTGGATCAACTGTATAGGCTTAGTTCAGAACGTTTTTTGTGCTTGATGGAATGAATAGCCGAAGTGAAAGCATCGGTTGTACAATCGATTCGGCAATCAGAATGTTTTCTACAGATAAATGGCACTTAAGTGTAAAAATCGCGTTTGTCGGCGCCACCTCGGAAGGTAATCACCTCGATCGAGTTGCTCGTGCGAACGGAACTTAAATATTAAGAATCCCACAACGATACCCTAGACTTTATTAAATGTTTCTTACAATTTTGCAATTTCGTGTATACAAATGCTTTTGTTCATTAACCTAAGATCATCTAATTGTAGTTTGCAATTTTAATATAAAATTTGCAATGCTCCTTCGTTCTAGTTCATTGACTTACAACTGTCACATCAACACGGACGCTGATCAAGTTGCTACAATCTAATTTCCCATCTGTTGGCCCCTCACAGACATGTTTTCTCAAATCTCATGCTCTAGACTATGTTCTATTGTAGTAATTTGGAATCTCGGAAAACAGATGTCCGAAGCTTAACCAAAAAAGAAAAGAAGTGGAACCTCAATCACCGATTATAAAAGATGACTTTTTTTTAGAACTACGTGTTTAACTTAACTTTTATGTTAAACAAGTCCAACATTTACTTCACGGTGTAAATTTACATTATTAAAGACTGTTAACGGGATCTGCCTCGCAGTGATTAAAACTGTCGGATTTCCTCAAACGAAATCAAATTAGGGTTTACCGAATACAGTTTTAGTGAAATGTTGAATGAATAGCAAGCAGAGTATTATACGGCTGAATAAAAGCTAGGTACTTTTAAATGGCACATCCCATTTCATAACTGCCCGAACCATTTTTCAACAGACAAAGCGGGCATTAGCTGATAGCCTACCATTTTGTACAAAGATTTGTATTCATGGTCCACATATAATATCTACCGCTTATAGTAGGTCATATTTACGCAAGCTCTCGCATGAAAAGCGGCAAATATTCTCCTTTACTAAATTCTGGACGGAGTTCTCTCTAAAATCTCGTCGCGTATCAACAAAATGGACAATACCAAACGAAGTTAATTTTTCATCTGAAATTTACACCCAAAAGTAGAGTCCGGTTAACAGCCATACATTTGAAAATGTTATTTTTAATTAAATGTTCAACAATGATGTTAGAAAGGTGTTATGTTATTATAAAGTAAGTATAAAAACTAACCAGTTTTAATGACGTCAACTTAGTGATAAGCTGCACGCAGAACTTTTTCCCAGACACTATCTCAACAGGTTCTCCTGAATTTTCGACAACTTATTGATAATTTTATGTTCACCCTATGTATTTAAATCCTTTTAATTGAATTATTTTTTTTAATGGACCTTTTGCTTTCTCATATTGAATTCCGAGTGTTCGGGCAACATTTGGGATATCCGCATTTATAACAAAAACTTAACGAAGATCACTTTTGTACATTTTTCTAAAAGTTGATTATCTTTTTTATGTACTTTATAGTCTCAGGGTTATTTTGGAAATGGTTCTTAAACAAACTTTTTTGGATTAGCTGATCCTTCAGGAATATTCTTATAAACAACTAATTATGTCTTTTTATACCTTTGTGATACTGTTTTATGCAGTATTAGGCCGTAATAATTTTATTTCTATTTGTCTGAGTTAAATACAAATGAGGATCTCCTTTCGGAAACTGTTTACTTATTGTCTTCCCACTCTATTCTAATTTAATCAAACATAAATCTATTACTACAGTTAAAAGTATGTCTTTATCTTAACTCTACTCCATCCCTCATTCAAACCTAGATTATTAACGGGACAACCTGTATTTCCCAAAACTGACTTTTGTCACTTATTCAGATCTACAATTATTTACAAATGAATTTGGACACAACATGTACATTTAAAATTTGCAGTATTGCAAATGAATAAATAAACAAACACAGAAGTTTGTTTTTCCAGTGAAATTGATAGAGCTTACACAAATCCATTTAATTTCGAATTAAATGTATCAATGAATTGGAGTTATGAGTGCATGCACATTTAATTCAACCTGAATGTTACCCTGAACTGAAAAAATTCCCAACAGTTCAATATACTCCAGGGTTAAAAAAGATCAATTCACCATTTGTAACCCCTCATGCCTCGAGGTTTGCCAGTCTTATACCCCCTCGGATTACGTTATAGATCAGCTGTATAGGCAATAGTTGTGTGTTTTTTGTGCGTGCAAGAATGAATAGCCGAAGTGAAAGCTATCGGTTGTCCGACCGATTCGGCAATCGGAATGTTTTCAATGAATAGGTGTAAAAATTGCTTTCGTGGGGCTGTCTTAGCTACTCACTTCGAGGTCCTCGTAGGAGCGGAACTGCAGTATGGAGAACCCCTCGACGATGTCCTCCTCGACCAGGGGCTCCTTGTTCTTCTTGCGCCTGTTGGGGGGCCGCTGGGGCTTCTCCCGGACGACGGTGTCATCGTCGTCTCCGCTGTCTGGTCCATCGCGACGGTCGGCCTTGCCCTCCCTTTGGGCCTGCATGCGCTGGGCGCGTCTTCTGCGTCTGTTTCGCTGCTTCACCTCCACATCCATGACTCAGACATTGCAGCCGTTCCGACGGTGGCGGCGGCGATCCGCCGACATAGCGACCGTTCACTACCAGCAGCAGCACCACCTGGAGCTATGGCGGACTCGGCACCCCGTCCTCCACGGCTTATCCCATCACCGGGGCGGCCCACGGCACATCGCACGCCCTCACCAACAACACACACAAACAACACCATACACCGGATCGAACGCGAAGACCGAATTTTACAGAATAAACAATATTTACAACGGACACGACACGGCCAGTCAATACAATGTAAAATGTCGCGACGCACGGGCGCCCCCTTGCGGACGAAACCGCAAACGGCGAAAATCACCAAACTGCCAACCTGACGGACCGAAATTGCACTATGGCGCAAGGCGATGTGAGACGGTAGGCGCACGGACACGATGCGAGTCTGCGGTATGCCAGCACAGACGCACTGATACTCCCTTGTTTTGCACGCCGAAAAAATTTTTATTACTTAATAAACATACAGAACTGTCATAAATAAATAGTTATTTGTTTATTTACCAACATAATACGTGTTTTCGTGGTAAGGAACAAAATACACGAGCAGAGGACACATTCTTGCTAGACTGAAACTTTTTTTTTTATTCAAATTAAACACGTGGTTTTCTTCAGTCGCGTTTAGTTAATAAATTTAGCAAGGTTAATCTTTATAATAAAATTACCAAAAATTTTTGATTCATTAAATAATCACTATTTGAAATTTGTAGGTACTATTGTTAAAAATACTATACGTACACTTTCTTATTGTATCAACGATATTAGTACATATTAAATATATGTTAATTTTATTTTAATTTAACATTTCCACCAATACGCTGGACATTCTTTCTACGTCCTTGGTTCTGTTTTTCAAAAAAAAAAAAAAAAACTCAGATACTACGTTTATTCATTTCCGACCGAAAAAATTCTACAAATATATATCGGATGACTCTTAATAATTGTGATTTTTTGTCAGATTGGCAACTAATATAAAATTTTATTATTTTTAAAATGAAATTTAGGGCACCAGTCATCTCCTACTCACGTTTGTAACGCGTGTTAGGGCCGCTCTTGTCAAAATTGACAACTGTGAACTGCCATGCTAACATTGCTGCCAATAACGCAGAATTGCCAACACAAAAATTTGCTTCAATCATTAATAGTCACTCGGTATATAAAGTCCTGAAATTACTGGAGTGCTAATTTCATCTCAGAATTTTGGTTGCAAAATCCAATTAAAATGTGTAGGTTATACAGCTATACATAATGTACTACAAAAACTATAACATCCTTTTTGAAAACTTTTTTAAACAAAGTATAAAAAAAATTAAGGATCTCTGTGGGACCTGTCACATATTCCGTTCTTTGTAGAATTTGGCTACATTATGTTATTTTTCCTTTAAAATGTTTTAGACAAATTATGTTATTATTATTGCTTGTATGAACATATGAAGCTATTTTAATTATTTTCTATAGAAGAAAAGTTTTGCAAGAGCAATACATTATTAATTGATTTTTAAAATATCTATAAATATTAACTACGGCTGCTGAAAACTAAACCAATTTGTCAGTCCTAATAGAATATACACAAATGTAAATGTCAAACGTCAATGACCAGTTTTCAGTGACCGTTCTCATAATAATAAATTATTACTGAATACATAATTTTAATAAATTAATATTTTACGCAGGTTTTCGCAGTTTTAAATTTGTGTGTTTAACCTTGAAACGCAAAATTTAATTATAGTTTAAATTGAAAGTAGATATTCATATATGTTATGATAAACTTATAACAACTGTTTATTTATCCGATTACATATTAGGAAGATGTTGGCAATAATTGCATATAGAAGAGCTAAAATTTAAATAAAAAAAATAGCTTGTCAGAACACTGTATTTAGTAAACATGTTCATGATACAAGAGGCAATAAAATATCCTAGTTATATGTTTGTTTAAATAATTATAAATTGTCATTTAAACTACGCGGATTTTGAGTGGCAGCAATTGCGCTACTTTTATACCAATGAATAATGATAATGAATGACATTGACATTATGTGCGTTAGCAAACACGAAGTTTATACAGTCAAGGTAACAATGCTTGATAATCATTTGCTTGCAAGAATTAAATTTTTGTTTGTATGTGCATTTTTTATCTACTAGGTATTCGACAAAAAAAATCCCCAAATCTATTAACTACATAAGTATTTATAATTTAGATCTCGAGGCAGAAATTGGTAGTGATCTAGTTTTTATTTCATCTGCAGCCAATTATCTGAAATTAGTTTATATTTCAAACCACTTATTTTCGACAAAACTCATTTAACTTAATCTAAAACTCAATTTTATGTTCGTAATGGGTAGTTCCATATGAACGAGAAAACATTTATGTTGGCAATACCATCGCGTTCCTTGTTCAGTTTGACAATTACGGTCAAACTTTTACTTATGTAGTACTGACTTTCGTAGTGACTTAATTTTGACCTTATTATAATTATTACTAGAACACAGAAACATATTTTAGGTTTTTTAATTTAGGGTTGTTAATAAATAAAAAATAAACCAATAGGTACTTATTTTATGAGTTTTACCACTTTGCCACTTATGTAATAATGTAAGAAAGATGACACCCCACGGTGTCAGCGATCGTACAATTCAAAGAATTGGATTTCTGAATTTATGACATCCAAGGTTTCCTGGAAGTACCTGACCTAACGCGTGGTCATAAATTCATATGTCTAGTACATACAATACACGCACATGTTGTGGTGAATCACTAATAATGTGAGTGTTGTGGTAACTGGAGGTGTCATGAACCAACCTGGAACACATTTTTTAACCCTTCATCTTGTTTGGAATGTGCGCCACTATTTAAAATTTTATAATATTAGATAATGTTTATAAAGCATCTTTTGCAATTTTTACACCAAGATGAAGTAAAATTGCCAACCATTTGTTAGAATTTTGGCCTCCCAATTTTGGCTACTAATTTAACAGAAAGCAACATTTGCATACAGAACAAAATCTCTTCCGCAATAGTTCAGCAATTAATTTCAATTAAGTGTTAAGTTATCGCACGGAAAATTTTTAGGAGATTTATGTAACCTTTTTATTCAACCGAATATTCCCCGTTCAGAAATACTTTAAAAAAAAAATGTTGAAATAATTTTGCGTTGGTGAAAACAACTGATATCAAAGCAAGTTATAATGCATTTTTTATAGGAAATAAAAAAATGCACCAGGAAAGAGATACATATTAGAGAATTAGAAAAAACGAATGAATGTAACAGTGGCGTAAATAACATCATTGCGTCACGAGGGCGTAATTTCCATTTGTCAGATATTAAAAAAAAAGATATTTGATTAATTTTATCTGCTTAAATGAGGAGAGGTCTAGTTAATTATTTAATTAATTATAAGTTACGATGAAGCGAAACAGTTCGATTAGTACATGATTATTATTATTTTATTATTATTCAATATAGACAGGCGTGACATTACTGTATTCTTACATTTTCGAGAAAATAAGCTGAATCGTTCTTGGTTTGATAAAAAAATTAAAATGCCCTGGAACCAAGTTCAAACCCGAGACTTTCCTTTACAAAGCTGGTGCTTGAGTACCTACTCCACGTGACCCACTGGTAAAACTTCTTATTATGTATATAAAGTACAGGCAGAGCTAAACAGTAAATATTATAGTAATAACCTAATATAATAACAAACAAAGTTGAGATCGATCCCTAAACCACAAATACAGGAGTATAATATTTTATAAAATTTAGACATTCTGTACTACGCAAAATCGTGAGCTGCCATCATAAAATTGTTGATGGAGGTGATCAGCCAAATTTTGGTTAGCACTTTACCATCTACTACAAAATTTGACAAGAATCGGTTCAGTAGTTTCGACGCAGACAAACGACAGACGACATATAAAAATAGGAAACTTACTGCTTAATACTGTAGGGGGTCATGAAATGTCAAAAAAACATGAAAGTAGCCAGTCGTCTGTTGGACCCTTAGCTTTTATGTACGCCCGGAAAGTAAAATGTTATCACTATGCTCTAAAGAATTTTATTCATCTGTATTTATAGGCATAATAAGAAATATTTTGATGATTTTTATGGTATGTTATGTTTGTCTGCACATTTTTGCCACTAAAGAAACACTAACTTGAAAAGTTAGACGCTTCAATGAAACACTCTATACTACAGTTTCGACATCCTTTGGTCTCATCAGTACAACATATTTCAGTGGTTTCAAACATTCTACAGTATTTATTGACTTTATATACAGGAACCAGATAACATTAGTGAGATGTAAGATGTAGTGACCTGCTGAGTTACATTTTTGTCGCAAATACTCCGCAATTCTTAATTGAACTATAGCTTTTCATAAGTTGTCTAGCTTTTTGAATTAGTAATCCTTTAGCGGTATAAACTAAAGGATTTTTCCATAAGAAAGAAGTAACACCATTGATACCAGGTGTAATACACTCGAGAACTTAACTAGAGCTTAAATAACAATGCATTTTACAAAACATCAACTTTCTGATCGGGATGAATAAAAAAATTTTGCTCGAAGTTCTAAAATTTTATTCCATAAATTTTAAGTTTTCTGAGAAACGTGTAAGGTTTAAAGAAAGATAGACTGTATGCAGAAGAATATTAAAAGAAATTTCAAAACGTGATCAAAATGGTCAATTTTGCCAGGAAAGTATGGATTTTGCAATTTTTGTAACTTTACCATTTCGAACATGTTTTAAGTTTCTTGTTGTGAAAAGCAGAAAACGTAAGTTAATAAAAAAAAAGATAAAATATAAGCCCCACCTACCCACCCTATCTCAATTGTGATGATTTTTTTTATTCGTAGTTAGCCGGTGGGCGGACCTTAAAATTTTCATTTCTCTACAACCAATTATCTTGTGATTTTTTTTTTGACAACAAAAATCTTCAAACATGGTAGCTTATTTTTGTGGGAAATATGGATTTTGCAATTATGCCCCGCCTCTTTGTCTTGCCTCCAATGAAAAATTCAGCACAATTGAGACAGAGGTGGGTGGGTGGGGCTTCATTTTATATATAGTTTTTATTTAACAACACCGTACTCAAAAACATCTTTCGCAAGCTAATTGCTAGTAGAGAAATGAGAATTTTTCATTTAAACTCCGCCTCCCGGTTCACGACGAGTAAAAAAAAAACATTAGAATTGAGATAGGGCGGGTGGGTGGGGATTATATTTTATCTTTGGTTTTTCTTAAATTTAGTTTTCTTCTTTCCACAACAAGAAACTTGAAACATGTTCAAAATGGTAAAGTTACAAACATTGCAAAATCCATATTTTCCTACAAAAAATTAGCATATTGAACATGTATTAAGTTTCTTGTTGTGAAAAGAAAAAAATTTAAGTTAATAAAAGAACAAGGTAAAGTATAAGCCCCACCCACCCACCCTAACTCAATTGTGATGCTTTTTTTATTGGTCGTTGGCCGAGGGGCGGAGCTTAACTGCAAAATTTTCGTTTCTCTACAAGCAATTATCTTGTGATTCTTTTTTTGACAACAAAAATCTTCACACATGTTCAAATGGTAGATTAATTTTTATGGGAAATATGGATTTTGCAATTATGCTCCGCCCCTTGGTCAATGAAAAATTCGCCACATTTGAGACAGGGGTGGTTGGGTGATACTTATATTTTATGGTATAAGATCAATTTATTGCTAATATACATAGGTATTGTATCGGGTTATGTTCATATGAAAAGTCATATTTAAAAAAAATCAACCGAAGGGACAATCTCCACATCATGTTTTCCAACCAACACAAAAATCTAGCTGAATTTTTGACTGCTTTCCGAATTTTTGACACATTTAAAAAAATTGCATTTCAAATCGAATTTTTTCGAAATTTTGGTCTGGGACCATAAACACGTCATATTTTCGAATCAATTCATCGAGCTGTATTTCCCAGAATTTTTCAAAATTTTTAGGCAACTTTTCAAAAATTTGGATGAATTTTTTACCATTTTCCATGCTTTCGACACAAGTTAAAATCTTCATTTTCCATCAACAAGTTGTTTTTCGAATCATCTCATCAAATCTATTTCCCAGAGACTTTTTAGGCACCTCTTCAAAAATCTCACGCTTGATTTTTTTGAACGTTTTTCGAACGTTTGAGTTGTATAAAAAATTTATTCACAAACCGACTTTGTCTATGTGCTTATAGACATTCTTACAAAACCTCCATGCCATTTCAATAAGATTGTATTGAAATAGTATGGAGGTAATCTAAGAACTTCATGACTTTGCTTTGTCAATGTTTCATCGGTCACGTAACGTCCAACTCTGTTCGTACGAAATGGTGTAAGTAAATTCCAAAGTTCTTTTTTCGAACCAATTGTTATTGGAATTAACACCACGATTAATCAACCATTCCTTCATTTGACTTATTTTAACGAAAATGTAGGAGGTTTGTACAATTGCACTTAGTAATACGGTGCATTGTCTAAAACTACTACGTAGTTTATTCAAGGAATAAGCAGGTTATTCACCCAATTTTGAAAAAGTACTCGGTACATTGTCTTCATTCTGGTAGTTTTATGTCGACTCTGAGTATACAACAACACATTTTCACAGAAGTAAAAATTTTCCTACAAAAGTATTTTTACTGCAACGAAATATTTTCATTTACATAAAATTTTACGCCCGATAGCTTCTTCATATCCCATTGACTTTAAAATTCTAAACAAAGTGGTTCTACCACTTTTAAATTCCAAGTGTACGCGAGCATTCTCCAACAGTGTCAGTTGTAAAATATTCATTCTTGTTATAATTCCAAATTAGTCGTTGCAGGTCCTTTCTAAACATAAAATTTGTAAATAAGTCTGTTTCTGTGCGCTTGGCAGAGCATACTGCATACCTGTAAATTTTATACAGTGCGTTTTTTTATTAATAGATCATAGAGAGTTACATGGTGTAAACTTTAAGTCGGGTTAATGTTTTTTTACTGCGAATTTCAAAATATGCTTAGTTCACATTATTTTTTACAAATATAATCTGATAATTTTTAAAACCAAGGAAGTAAAAATAATCAAAATGAAAATTAAAATAATTCGATCATTTTAATCATTTTACCTAATATTTAATTTTACGCTTTAAATATTCTAATCACTAATCATAATCAGTTTCCGTGGTAAAATCTTGCCCGTAGTTTTGTAGTTAATTGCTCAAAACACTTTTTGATTGCAAATTTTTGTTCTATAACAATAATAATTTGTAAGTATTTCGACAGAAAATTAATTTTCCTAGATTCAGCGCTTTAGATACCACAGTAGTATTTAATTTGAAACAATAAGGCCCTAGACAGTAACAACAGTGACAGCAGCAATAATACTCCACGTTATGTCTTTAAAACAGTTTATCCAACATATAAAAACCACAGCCACCCCTTATCCAGCAAGATCGTGAATGAAATATATTATGTTTGTATCAAAAGTCGACAACACACAGATGACAACAGACGCAAGCGAATGACTTATATTTTCGTATTCTACAGAAAGGTGGAAAATTGAGTACTATTTTATTTAAAAAATATTAAGCACTGTCATTCAATCTTTTATGACAAATCATATGTGATTCAAGCTTTACTATCATTTTGACACTTTTCAAAAATCTATTTTGTCAAACTTTTGTCAAACGATGCCTTTGATATTATTAATATCCGACAGATATGACACTACTGTCAGTAAATTAAGGTTATCTAAATAAAGCACATTTTACAAGTTATGACATTAGTAACTGACAACTGCTCAATATTTTTTTAATAACTGTACCCATGACTCTAGATATTTAACAAAATCACTTATTACAACACTTCGTATAACTTACGCCTGCAACGTACGTAAGAGTCGTCGTTTAAGAAGGTTGTGTTTTATGTGAGTTTTTTGAAATTTATACGAATAAAATGCCTAACTAATTCGTAAAATTTGTTTTGCGGTCTTGAATAAACTGAAGCTTCGTGTATACTTCTAAGCGCGATTCGCGTACTTATCACACAAGTAACTATTTTCGTGAATGTCAAACCGCTATGTAGAGCACATGCGCGTACAATGCATGTATCAAACTTGCATCATGTCGGTGTCTCTAACGTCTTGGCAAACCGGTGGGGAACGAGGGACAATGGCCTTTTGTGCGATGAACAGGGGTTGGATTACCCCCCCAGGGCAGGACCACCATACACGGACAAAGACGCTGGCTTCCCATCAGCCTGCAGTCGTTTACGTCACGCCAATTATCTACTTATTGCCATTAATTAATTATACAATGAACATCGATTTGCAGTTTAACAGTTTACGCAGAGACAAAGAGTCTTCATTACTCTCATAACAGCCCTATTCCAGCACGGAACTCATCGTCTACTCGCTAAATTTGCAATCTAGGACCAAACCAACCTTCGCCCGAAATAGATTCGTTCGGAAAAGTTAAACGGCTAAATAAAAGCTTTTTTATTCTCGAATCAATTTCATTCAGCTCGTATGAAATTCCCCGCCACATCAAAAGAAAAAAAAACTGCATTTGCTCCCACTTGGGGACTTTTTCGCTGCACTCTCTTCGAGAAGTCCGATGCCGTTCACCTTTGTACCATTTTAATGATCTAATAAAAAGCTGTAGTTGTGGCACCCCTGATTCCAATCAGCTGTGCCCACCTTTGCTCCCTGTATTCATTAATCTTGAAGCAAGCGCACACCCACCCTGGACGTAAATGTTGGGTTGGCATTACTTCGTTTAGTTTTCTTTAGAAACTCACCTGTTACCTGAGTTGAGTGTAAACAATGGTTTCAACGCCGCTTTTAAATTATTCAATTACATTTTTTTGTATTGTGGGTTTGGGTTTATCGATTTACGCTTATGTTGTGGAACTGCAAGCGGAAAATAATAGCAAGTATGTCGCCATGTGTGATATTAGTGAACATATGAGCTGTACGAAGGCCTTTAGGTCCGAGTAAGTAGTTAATTTAGCTAATTGTTATGTTTGCGTATGATGTAATGCGCTTTAAAATTTCGTGATGAACGAAAAGATTTATTGACAACTTATCATCATAACAGAAATCAGTATTTGACAGCTTCTAGAGGGAATTCAGAGATGGCGTGGCATGTAACAATTCGTTGTAAACATTTTAAATAATGTGACTTGTTTTACTCATAGTTCGTACGTTTTATTTAACTTTGACTGTTTTCATTTCAGAGCGAAAGTTAAGGAAAATTCTGCATAGAACCATTTTGGCGAAGGGGTAATTTTAGCTTTTTTCGGGGAATTGAATTAAAATGGATTTTTAGTTTTAGTTCTAGTTTTAGTAATATGACATTTTAGTTTTAATTTTAGTAACCCTGTAATTTTATCTTTAATTCTGATTCTGCATGGTTACTATTTTTATATGATATTTCGTACAATTGCTATTCTAGCTTTAGTTTGTCGTCAATTTAACAGTTCTGATTTTAGTTAATATGGCACGTGAATAGATCTAGTTTTCATTCAGCTCCCATATGTTATGTTTTTTTTACTTCCCGAAGCTGGGAAGTATTTTTTATATCATAGCATCCATTATGCGAATGCCTAATTTTCATCTTCTTTCTCTACTTTTCGTAACTCCTAGGATAAGAAGAGATAATATCCGAAACTATTAAACTGATTCTGAAATTTTAGATGTATATGATATTAAAAACCCTGTATAGACGGTAAAACGTAAACCAAAATTTATACATGTAACCACCCTCATCAAAAATTATATGCACCATCACAAAATTTTGCCAAGTAAATTCTCTCTATTTTTAACTTGATGCATTAGGTTGATGGGAAAAAATAGACAAGAAAACTTTATAATTTAGTTTAAAATCCACGAAACTGATTGTTCTAAAATTTTGCGCTATCATTATCACGAACACGCCAAAAGTATACAAGCTTATAAACTTCTCTGGACACTCATTTTTTAAACACTCGCTCCGCTGGTGATTAAATAAATTCGTGACTGAAGAGGCGTTTGTAAAACGTGTTGCATAATACACCATTGTTGAGAAACAAATACGACTGGATGATAAATACAGTCCTTGTAGGTAATTTCTTTAACAAAAGTATTAACTATAAATTAATTAAATCACTTAATAAAATCCTTTTTTAACTATATTGTAACAGTGTGTCAATATAAGTTAAATATCCAAACAAGTGATGTTAAAACACCTCTTACTAAACTGTTTTCTTAAATGAAAAAATGTTCATCCAACTTTTTATACATACAGTATTAGCTTGTGTAATGTAGTATCTTTGGCATAGTCCCACCTCTTGATAGTTTTCGAACACAAATTTTTTATGTAGTTTCTAGTTTTGGTTGGTAAGCCAATAATTTGCATCAGAATAGACATATAAGTACATATTATTTAACAATAGGGTTGAGAGGTCTGGGTTCTCTAAGTGGAGATTGAAATTATAGGATGAAAGTTGAAGTCGGCGTCAGCTTTCATCCATATATCATTTAAAGTCGTAGTCAATCTTCACTAAAAAATACGTGGTCTGTCAGACACGAACAGGAATTTTAAAATATGCAATTGTGGACGTTTTTATTGATTTAAGGGACCAAATATGAAAGTTATGAAACATCATAATTTTTAAATTAAGTAAAGTCACATGATTTTTTTTGGTGCTGTAACGGGCGATAAATTTACTTATTTTTGGAGATGTTGGTATGAATCAGAACAATCGTCATTGTCGTAAAAATCAAGGTTGTTCTTGTGAAACTTGGATTTTATGATTTCACACCATTCTAATCAAGGTTTATAATTTCACAGTTAAATATTGGCGCCGTTTGGCTGGACACGATGTCTTTGTCCAGTTTTATAATTTCATGGTTTAAATTTGTTAATTTTAACAAAAAGCACATTTTGCCACTAAAAATCTTCATATTACAGTTAATTAAGCCTAATTTGGTGGAAACACAAATACTTTTACGACTCCCCAAATAAACTGGTAACTTGTAAACAATTTTGCGAAAACAACTCCTTTGGAGGGGTCTTTACTTATAAAAGATCGAAGGATCCAAAAAAGACCAGAGTCCTCTAGCCAGTTGCCTGTTTAGTGTGTGTTTGTGTTGTGACACAAAGGGGTAAGTGTTAAAATCTCCAAAAATGTGCACGATTTCATGAAAAGTTCAAAGTTTTGTTTTTATTAATATTTTTAAAGTTCAATTTAATTTTGATAATAAATCGCCCTTTGTATTCTCGATTGGATAACGTTTTGAGATTTAGATCTATTTTTAAAGATTAATTTGCATTGAAATTATTAGTTAAACAGTTATATTGTTTGATGAACGCTGACCACGCAACTACTATAATGTTCCTTACCAAATTTTAGAGTTGTTACAAATTTTTGAGTTGTTACCAAATTTTTGAGTTGTTACAAATGTTTGAGTTGTTACCAAATTTTGAGTTATGGTACCAATTTTAAGTTTTGTTATATTTTGTTTTAGATTTTTTTTAAATATTTGTTTTATTATGCTTTCAAAGATTTAGTTTCAAAGTTATAAAGTTTTCTTGAATTTATTTAAAAATGTTTTAATACTGAAGTTCATTTTCTGATAATTATATTTGCATATTAAACTACACTACAATTTATTGTTATACCAAATTATTCTCATATGACTAAATCTCTTTTGTACATACTCATTTCTAAATTAAATATAATTATTCATTTAAGCAAAATGCATATACTTGAAGTAGTCCCTTTGTCCAGTCACTAGAATGTGTTACCATCATCACGAACCAGCCTACGAACAAATAAATAATATTTTCACTATATGTCGGGCACAAGGTCCACGACAAGAGTTTTACAGTTTTATATATAATAAATTAACAAAAGTTAATTTAATGAAAATCTCCCAAGCCCGTCACATATAGGAGAAAATTTGGCGCAGTCGGTAGGATAGGTTTTTGAACTGGATGTATATGCTTTTGTTTGTTTGAGAATTGTGCGTTCTAGAAAAATTGAAAAATTTAATTTTTAATATTTTATTCACTAATTGTTGAGAAATAATGTTGTTTAGAAAGAGAAAAGAAATGGTAAGGACTTTTGAGCGTTATTTTCGAGAATTTGTTTTTTGACTGGTAATACTTGAGTACGGACCTGGCGCGAACGATTTTAAGGACCATAATTAACCCATTAGCCACACTCCATTGTGACCGTGAATGCGTGCGGGATGTGTGGGATGGCTTAGGAGGTCAGATTGAACTATTTTACGATCGAGCGAAAAATGCGTAAAGTTTACTTCCTAAATACTTGCTTATGTAGGATTATTGCAATCGACGAAAATACTGAGTTACGTAGAAATTAAAATTTTTAAGCTAGCAAAATGTCAGTATCAAAGATACAGTTTAAAAAAGGGCGATTGAAAAATGTGATGGATAAGTGCATTATTTTCATGAAAAAAAATTTTTTTTTCATTAAATTTTAGAAATGTTATAAAAACAGTAAAAATGGTGTTTAGTGACTAACTTATTTTTGGAAATTATTATTCATTAATTTAGGAATTTATTTCAGTAAATGACAAGATCAATAAATAGAATAATAAATTTTAGTAGATTGACAGATCTAGTTATATCCGTAAAAAAAAAAGAGGCCAAAATCGCAGTTATTTTATAAATATTCCAGGTGGTGATTATTTTTAATTAAAACAATTGAAAGAGGATTGACAGGTGTTTAAGATGATTCCGTTGTTTCCAGTTTTTTTTTTAAGTACACACTGTATTTAAATTTGTGCATTTTGGTAGTAGAATGAAGAGTTATTTTGTAAACACAGTAACCATAAACAATTTTTTTTTTTAAAGGAAAACAGTATTACAATTTTGCGCAAGATATAAAGCACATCACGAGATCAAGCACATATTAAGAGTAACTTGCACTTTTGTGGTAAAATTGTTTGAAAAGGTGATATTTCCGTATTATTTAACACCCAGCTATAAAACTTCGTACCCCGTAATTTAATTTGAAGCTAACGAATCACGAGCGACGAAAAACAAAGAAAACGGAGAGAAACATTAAAATTTCAAAGTCTGTTCTGAAATGTCCATTTTTTTTTATGATGTATTTGGTCTAAATTAGCCGGAAATCTATTTTAACGAAATTCATTTATGAGAACTAAAGTATTAAAAAAAAAAAAGTAAACTAGTTAACTTCGTCTAACCCCAGAATTGGTAATAAAAATAGGCAGATCACCATGACGAAGTCACATAAATTTCGTCATGCTTCATCTTAGAATTAAAATCTCACTTTCCTTTAACGTTCGGGAATAATTGTTCAAAATTGAATAGTACATACAGACGCGTTATTGAACCGTTTCGATCAAGCACTATTACCGGGTGAAGCTCTCCAAAAATTCCGAAACTGCAGACAACGACAGGATGAACCTGTACAAGAATATTCTGAGCGATTACAAATAATTGCCGCTTCTACTTGGAAAAAAACCGGTGATCAAAGAAAAGATAGAATTTTGGCTGAACGCATTCAAGAAGAATGCTTATATCAATTTCTTAACGGACTATTACTAAATTTACAAGCAAAAGTTTATGCAGGTGATCCGATTTCATTTGAACAAGCAGTTAAAATCGCCATTAGAGAATCACAGATAGAAAGATTGCTGAAAAAAAATAACCGAAGTGATATGATTCGTAAACTGGACAATGATCCAGATGCTCGTGAAAATTTAAATAAAAAATCTAACGCAGTTGGGACATATAAGGAATTAAAATCAAACGATGAAAAATTGATTGCAAATACTTATTTTTCAACAAATCAGAAAAATAACGAGAAAAATGAAAACACTGCAAGAATGAATCTGCGACAACCGTATAATAGAAATTTAAATCAGTATCGACCAACTGGTTTTAGTTATGGCTTTGCTGCGAATATTTGCAAATATTGTCACAAGGCAAGAGGACATTACATTACATGCCCTAATATAGTTTGTTTTCAATGTGGCCAAAGAGGTCACATCAGGTCAAATTGTGCAAATCTGACTAATTATCGGCAGAATTTTTGGACGACACAAAGACGACCAAATAATAATAATAACTCGAGGGTTGGATTTTATCAAGCTGAGAAACCTCCTGTAAATATCCGGAACACTCGTAAAAATCCATTCACTAAGCCAGTGTTGGTCGAGCGAGAAAAGGACATCAGTCACACATTAAAGCCAAGTAATATCAATAACCATAAAACTATTTTTAAAATTAATTTAGGCTCCGAAAATTTAAATGCGTTTATGATTTTTACAGAATGTGGGAAACAGTTGCATGCAATTATAGATACCGGATCGGAAATATCACTTGTAAAAAGTCGAGTAATTTGTGAATTAAATTTAATAACAAAAGTATTTAAATCTGATACTGAATTAGTTGACGTACAAGGTAATGCAATAACTCAGTGTGGGTCGGTTGTAATGGTCTTAACAGATAAAATTAATTTAACATTTAATCATAAGTTCATTGTAGTCCAAGATAATATTCGATTTGGTGGTGATATACTAGTAGGTTTGGATTTTATGTCTAAACATTCGGCAAGTATTTGTTGGAAGCGTAAAATTTTTAAACTTTATGATATTTCATTTACTCTGCTCACGGAAGATGAGGTCAAGGTTGGATATTTAAAATTAGATTCTGAAATTGAGAAACAATGTCAATGTTCAGATTGTTTGTATAATAATTCAATAAGGATCAATAATCGCTATAAAAAAATTAAAGACATGATAAAGATGCCGTTAAGTGAACAAGAAGTTGGCCCAATAATGAAATTAGATGAAGATCTGCTCCAGATTAACAATGTACCTGAAGGAAAAATGTTAAGTTCCAACGTAAATGTTTTTAATTCTAGTGGCGAACACATTTTGAGTCCAGTGAAGGACTTAGTGTTACCCGAGAAAGGGGTTGTTTGCTCAAGGGAGCTAGTGTTACCCGAGAAAGGGGTTGTTGGTTGCTCAGTAAAGGAGCTAGTGTTACCCGAGAAAGGGGTTGTTTGCTCAAGGGAGCTAGTGTTACCCGAGAAAGGGGTTGTTGGTTGCTCAGTAAAGGAGCTAGTGTTACCCGAGAAAGGGGTTGTTTGCTCAAGGGAGCTAGTGTTACCCGATAAAGGGGTTGTTGGTTGCTCAGTAAAGGAGCTAGTGTTACCCGAGAAAGGGGTTGTTTGCTCAAGGGAGCTAGTGTTACCCGATCAAGGGGTTGTTGGTTGCTCAGTAAAGGAGCTAGTGTTACCCGAGAAAGGGGTTGTTGGTTGCTCAGTAAAGGAGCTAGTGTTACCCGAGAAAGGGGTTGTTGGTTGCTCAGTAAAGGAGCTAGTGTTACCCGAGAAAGGGGTTGTAGGCTCAATGAAGCCAGAGTTACCCGTGCAATGGGAAGGTGATGTTATTAATGATGTTGTTAAACTGCAGTTATTTAGTTCTAAGGAGCAGAAGTGGCGCGATAGTTCTGTGTCCTCGAGGACTGAAAAAAAGTTTTAGGTCAGTAAAGGAAACTGACAGTTGTTTAATACTTGACAGCAAGGTCAAGGAAATTGAGAACTCGAGTGAGCATGATTGTTATAGGTCAGTAACAAAAGATGCCATGAAGGCACAATCTGCTAAATGGTCTGGCCAACCGTGTCACCACTTTTTGTCAGAAAGACCGAGTATAGGTGTCAATAACTTGAAAACTAATGAAAAGGTTAAAAAGAAGTTATACAAAAAGGAGATTGTAAAAGAAAATAGACCCGACATGATCTTAGTCGCTGAGTTAGGAATGGATGATAAAATAAACAAAGGATATCCATTATATTTAACATCAAGAACAGTAATCCCTCCTAACTGTCGCAAATTATGTCAGGCCTTAGTCACTTATTGGGATCCGTTAAAGTTAATTATCGTAGAACCCTTATCACCAACTATTGAGTCGTTATTTTGGCTGGCAAGAAGTTGTAACAGAGCAGAAAAAGAGATTGTGATTTTATTAGTGAATGTGTTGCCACATCCAATAGAATTAGAAAAAGGAACTAAAATTGGAACTTATTCATTTATAAGAAGAATACAAGAGAATAAAAATGGAGATGATTTAATAACAAAAGAAATCTCTGAAGAAGAAATTCAGGAATTATTGGATATTCTAAGGTACCCCAAGGAAGATAAAGAAATCGCAGAACCATTGGAACAATTGATTAGAGAGTTTGTTGACATATTTAAAACACCAAGCCAACCTTTAAAATGCACTAATAAAGTTCAGCATAGGATTATCACGGAAGATGTTCCACCCATCAGTAAACGTCCATATAGAGTACCTTATCATCGTCATGAGATCTTAGATAAGGAAATACAAACATTGTTAGATAATAACATAATAGAAGAAAGTACTTCACCATGGTCTTTTCCAGTCTTGCTAGTAGAAAAAAAAAGACATCCAGGAGAAGAGCCTGAATTCCGATTGTGTATTGATTATAGAGAACTTAATAAGATTACTAAACCTGATTATTTTCCGTTACCAGTCATAACCGAAACAATTGACCAACTTAGTGGATCAAGCTTATTTTCTGTATTGGACTTAGCAATGGGCTTCTTTCAAATACCCTTATATACCAAATTTACTGAAACAAATGCATAAAGCACTCACAGAAGCTGCTAAAAATTTAGAAGGATCCATAAATCAACGTTGCGAAAAATACAATAAAAATGTAATTACGAAAGAGTATCAGCTAGGAGATAAGGTATGGCTATATACACCATCTATAAAAGGAAAGAAATTAGCTACAAAATTTGTACCAAAATGGACTGGACCCTACAGAATTGTTTTAAGAACTGGACCAGTAAATTATAGAATCATCGAAATTGGTTCTGCTAATGAACAATTAGTTCATGCAGCGCGATTAAAACCTTGGAAAATAAGAACAGCAGAATCTGATGACCAACTAGAGAATGAAGAAACTGAAGATATTCAATTAAAACTGGATTATTCTGATGAAAGTGATGATCAAGAAGAACTTGATTGGATCGAAGGGCCAATTGATGTAAATCAACTATACGAAACTGCAAATCCAAATACACTAACGGTATCCACAGAAAATGGTGAAAATCTAGAATTAAAAGACCCGTTATATGTCTCATTAGATGACATCGTTATAAGCGACGAACAAAATGTAAAAGTCAAACAAGAAAATGATATTCAAAAAGAAATAAGTTCTGCTGAATCAGAAGCTTCTGATATGAGTTCAGACAGCTTAAACTCTGAAACAGAGGAGTTAAATGAACCAACCTCATCTATCGTGCGTAGTCCACCGCGTCATGCTTATCATACAAGGAGCAAAGGACAAGCTCCCGAGTATCCGTGGGTATTACATAAACATATATAAAGAAAGTTCTAAGTTAAACGTATCAAATACAGATTTGGCAAGTTTAGAACTCTATAATTACTTTTAATCCAAGATAGTAGTTACGTGGTCTTATTATTTTTTAGGAACCATCCAAAAACGAAGTGATGATACTGACTACAAAGAGGCGTAAATATATATATCTTATTACTGCATATCACGGAGATTAAAACACTTGCCCCTGCTGGCATAGTCTTACTTTTCAATTATTAATCTTTTTTTAAAAGAGGACTCTCACTAACAATAGATAGTAGGATTTTGATTTTAGTATAAGGCTTTTACTAACACACATTGGGAATGAGTGTTATAGATCGACATATTATCGAGTGGGTAGAGTCAAGAGTCAACTCTTGAGCATGGGAATGATGTTATCCGAAGACCCACATGCCAGCGAGCTTAAAGTCCGAAACAAAGAACTTAGCTGAAGGACCATCAACTTTTAAGAATTTTGAGAATCGATTGAGGTTACTGCAAAATTATCTCAATCTGGACAGTTAATGAAAAGGAGTCCTTGGTGACACGACTCGATTGTGCTGGCAAACATGAAAATTGGAATCCTCCCTCGATCTGGTCGAATCTACATTCCCTATGTGAAGACGCCTTTCCATCTATGTTTCAAGACGGATAGAAGAAAGATTATAGTAGTTAGGAATTTTAGGTAAGGAAGTTGCCTGGTCAGAAATCAAATGTATGCTAATTAAAGCATAGCATTTGCTTCCCTAGCAGGGAGGAGATGTAACGGGCGATAAATTTACTTATTTTTGGAGATGTTGGTATGAATCAGAACAATCGTCATTGTCGTAAAAATCAAGGTTGTTCTTGTGAAACTTGGATTTTATGATTTCACACCATTCTAATCAAGGTTTATAATTTCACAGTTAAATATTGGCGCCGTTTGGCTGGACACGATGTCTTTGTCCAGTTTTATAATTTCATGGTTTAAATTTGTTAATTTTAACAAAAAGCACATTTTGCCACTAAAAATCTTCATATTACAGTTAATTAAGCCTAATTTGGTGGAAACACAAATACTTTTACGACTCCCCAAATAAACTGGTAACTTGTAAACAATTTTGCGAAAACAACTCCTTTGGAGGGGTCTTTACTTATAAAAGATCGAAGGATCCAAAAAAGACCAGAGTCCTCTAGCCAGTTGCCTGTTTAGTGTGTGTTTGTGTTGTGACACAAAGGGGTAAGTGTTAAAATCTCCAAAAATGTGCACGATTTCATGAAAAGTTCAAAGTTTTGTTTTTATTAATATTTTTAAAGTTCAATTTAATTTTGATAATAAATCGCCCTTTGTATTCTCGATTGGATAACGTTTTGAGATTTAGATCTATTTTTAAAGATTAATTTGCATTGAAATTATTAGTTAAACAGTTATATTGTTTGATGAACGCTGACCACGCAACTACTATAATGTTCCTTACCAAATTTTAGAGTTGTTACAAATTTTTGAGTTGTTACCAAATTTTTGAGTTGTTACAAATGTTTGAGTTGTTACCAAATTTTGAGTTATGGTACCAATTTTAAGTTTTGTTATATTTTGTTTTAGATTTTTTTTAAATATTTGTTTTATTATGCTTTCAAAGATTTAGTTTCAAAGTTATAAAGTTTTCTTGAATTTATTTAAAAATGTTTTAATACTGAAGTTCATTTTCTGATAATTATATTTGCATATTAAACTACACTACAATTTATTGTTATACCAAATTATTCTCATATGACTAAATCTCTTTTGTACATACTCATTTCTAAATTAAATATAATTATTCATTTAAGCAAAATGCATATACTTGAAGTAGTCCCTTTGTCCAGTCACTAGAATGTGTTACCATCATCACGAACCAGCCTACGAACAAATAAATAATATTTTCACTATATGTCGGGCACAAGGTCCACGACAAGAGTTTTACAGTTTTATATATAATAAATTAACAAAAGTTAATTTAATGAAAATCTCCCAAGCCCGTCACAGTGCTAATATGTTTTTCATTACAAGTTTTGTAGCGAGAGAGCAATAAAAACACACAATCAAAGACAGTCATGGATTTTTGAAAGTTTGTCGTTGATCGTTTCATTTTCAACTCAAACTTTCAAATTGACGGTAACCTGACAGGACGAAAATTCTATTAGAAAAATTTAAAAAATCTGTGGCTGTCTTTGGTTGTGTTTTTTTTGCTGTCTCTATAGCTATTTTATAAAATCCTTGACTTTTTCGCTAGTCCTACTTTATTACTTACCGAGCTTAAGCTGAGTAATTGGGTCCATCCGAAGAATGGTTCTTCGACGTTTCATGACCTCTAGAGTACGAAAAAATAGGTCTCGTGTTTTCGTCTGCCTCTTGGCTATGTCGATTTTTATTCGAAAGATAATTTCCGAAACGTAATCAAAATTTGTCTAATCATACCCATGGACTATGGGATGATGTGATCTCAAAATTTATGTATAACAGTAAATCTTATTTAAATTTTATAAAATAAGATACTTCTGCACTTGTGGTTTATGAATCCGTGTTGAGTTTTTACCCTAGATATCCAGATTTTTGGGGAAAAAATCCAAATTGTGTAACAAAAGCTCTAGAATTTTGCAATCCTTAATTAAAATGTATCCGTTTATCCTGTCCCAAAAATTGATGACGTCATTCCAAAATTTTGGCGAATAAATCCTCTCCAAAACGTACCATAAACGGTTGTTGCATGTGTCAGTCATGTTAAAATAAATAAGTACTGGGAGAAATAATTTAACTTTCACACAATTGCACACGTATGTATTTATTAATCATCAAATATGTATATTATAGAGCTGAAAACAATTTTATTGCTGTTGAATTTTTACCAGTAGATCCATATTGTAAAAAATAAAATAATTAGTTGAGAACATTTTTTTTTACATATATCTGCATGTACAATCTTCTGATCTTTTTATCCCTGCACTGCTAGACTTTTAATATGACACTTATGGAACTATACCTAACTTAGGGTGCTACTTATCAGCTAGGTACCTGTAGGCAATGGCAACCCTTATAACCGGGTATTTGCACGCAAGTACTCTATAACCCAGTTGGGGAGACCTGCCACATGGGGTAGACTAACCGCGGCGCGCAACTGACCAACATCCATTTTAATTAAATCAAGAACTATTTTCCCAAAAAATTTGAATATACGATACTGTTATGTATTATTAATATTATACACCTATTCAAATTAATATGTGTCTTTGCTGATGTTGATATCGTCAAAACAAAATTTTATTATGAAAAAATTCTTGATGATGCTAACACTGTTGGCGAAACGTTGTGGTATTTTGTCTTACATTATTTAATATTTACGGGCTGTTGTTTTATTTTTGTAGCCCTAGGTTTTTAAGAAGTGATGCATTAAATGGAAGATAATAGTAATAGTGTCTATGATGAGAAGATTTGTTGAGAATCTTAAGTATCTTATTTGTCTTTAGTTTGCTTAGAGCCATCATAGTGACATCAACTGTTAAACAAAGGGATATTTAGTACACATATTTTTAAAATATGATTATGAAAATTCAGTTGTAAAAGAAAAAAATCATTGTTTACTGATAGGAGTATCATTTTTCTTGTAGTTTGATTTGTTTTATTAAGTGCCTTTTTAGCAAGTACTGCAATGTATCGGGTGTTTAATTGAAAAAGTCATCAAGTTGGCCTTGATTTTTTAATTATTTTGAAATATGTTTACAATTAACGTAAAATTTAATCGACGACAGCTGACAACGCGGAAATGTCAAGTAAATCTATACAACAGTATGAATTAATAAAACACATACGTTTTTTGCTACGATTTCTTCTATCAAAAAGCAACGCCAACTTGATGACTTTTCAATTGAACACTTTGATATTTTTGACGAGAAGTGTAAATATATTCCATCATACCGATGAGTTCGTGTATCAAACATGTATCACCACAAAACCATAAATATACATATATTTACTCTAATATAGAGGCCAGGCAAGTAATATCACACTAGATCAATTAGATATCTAGAAGTTCTTCAGGGGTTATTTTAAACCATTGAGACTTAAAATAATAATAATAATAAAACCAAAATTTCAAATTTTATATACTATGTATGTGGTGTATGAAGTATGAATCATACAACGTCTTCTATACAGGCTACTTTCGCGGATGTTTCCACTTTTAAAAGTGTAGAAGTTTGTAGATATGAGGGTCTAAGTATAAATGAGACGTAAAATTAGAAGCAGTGAGTTGAGTCGACGTAATTACATTTGAGAAAGTACCTACTGAAGATCTTAAGAAAAGAAGTAGTTTGTAGCAAGTTTTATATCAGTTAACTATTAACCGAGTAATTTCAGAATTAAAAGATATCTTAAAATACGGATTTCCTTAGTCATCCAGTTTTCTTTTTTTTTAAGTCGTTTCATAACTTCCTCTTTTGCTTATATTTGATGTGGATTATCATCATAAGTATGTACCTATTTGTAAAATAAATATACACCAGATTCGGTCAACTCAAATTCCAAATAATACTTGTACATACGCACAACTTCCTTCGCCCCTGAAGACAACAAATAATTATTTACTATAGTTTAAAATTTTTAAAACACCTAAATTAGGTGAGGCGTTGCTGTTAGAAATTGTAAAATTTGATTATACAAGCGTACAAAATAAGAAGTTGTTAAATGCAATTAAAATTATGTCGTGATGCACGTTTTAAGTGAGATTTATTGTAAAAAGAATCGGACAACCACAATAATTCTTTCGATGGGATGAATAGACACATTTTGTTTGCGTTTTACCCTCGACTAGCAGTTTTGGGCTTTGAAGTTTCGGAGTCATCAGTATGGCATTTCCGGTTTTTGGATTTTACTATTATGTAGTGAAACAACAAGGAAACGTGATTATAAATTTACACATTCATCAAAATTTCCTGAAATACCAGTTGGGACGTACTTATCAAATTTCTTTGCAAATACTGAAGTAAAACACGAAAGCAATCAACAAATCTGTATTTTTCTGTAAATCTTGGTGATACTACTTGTTAATATAAGAATCGTGATTTTGTTCGTGCAGTTTAGTTGCAGCACAGTTTTTTATAGCTTTAATAGATTTTTCCTCATTTTGTAAGCATATTTCTTATTAATGATTTTCTAGATACGGCAAAGGATTTGGTTTGGTTTCCAAAGACTCATTTTTCTACAAACCGAACAGCCTTTTGGGAATTTTATTCTACAGCTTGGCAGCCACTTTAGGTAATGCCGCACACGCACTGTTTGTTTAGTAAAATGTCTAATTAACATCTTTATTTTTACAGCGCAATCTAATTCTCCGATCATAACGAGGCTTTCCTATTGGTCGACCGTTTTGGCGAATCTCATGTCGCTCTACTTTGCCTACGTTTTATACTTCAAGCTGTACGATTTTTGTGTTGTTTGTGTTTCCATTTACATGGTCAACATCTTGTGTTTGATTTTCACCCATCTGAAGCTACGTAAACTAATTATTGATGCTCGTATGGAGGCTAGCAAAAAGGCAAACTAAAGCGAGAACTCTCGTTCTTTGCCTACCTGTCCGCAAGAGGGAGCCTAGTGTATGAGTCTTAAGACTGTACATTAATTATAGATGTTGGTTATATAATTGATTATTTTTGATGTTCACATAACAATTAAAATTTCAGAAAAACCTGTTTCGTTTGTTTTCTAATGCAGTAGCTCGCTGATTATGTAGGAATCAACCGTTGTATAATGCGCTCCGGTTATGTTATTCCTTCAATAGCACTTGCCGTGGAGTCAAACCCACACATACATTGACGCAATCGCTGAAGAATTCTGATAAAGATGAAGAGGCGGACTCGACTTATTGGGACACAGACGCCAATAAAGGGAGCCACAAGGAGCAAAACAAACACGACAAGATCTCGAGGCTGTTTCTTTGTCTAATATTCTGAATATTTGATCCAATTAAAGCGGATCGTGGTCCAGCCGAGGTGAAAAGCGTCAGATGGCTTGGGAAAGTTCAGGGTTTTGAAACACTCTGTATACGATTATGGTCCGATCAAGGATTGTGCTGTTTGTATAACACACATGTAGCGAAATCCTGCTGTTAGGCAATCCTGATGGCTCGGGGCGTTCATTCCTCCTTACGTAATGGCTAGGTGGTTCATTGGATTTATTTGACTTAAGTCATTTTCCGGTCGTGTAATGTGCTATGACACATCCTTTTCCTTCAAACCACCGGTGCTGAACTGACCCCAATCTCATAATTTCGTAAAGCGATCGATATCCGAAATTCCGGGTCAAAATCGCTTCCGGTGGTGGTGTGAGGGATGACAAAAACAGCGCTGATAAAAAATGGCGTGAGTCAAGCAGAACGGCTGAAGCTACGCACCGAAAATTCCAAAGTGTAAGCGAACAGTTAATATATTTTTCCTAATATTACGACGGTTACAATAAAAAACTTGAAACAGGAGGCCAAGTATTAAATTAAGTTAAACAAAATGGCTTTAACAAATATTTTTTAAATATGCGTTTACCTACATAACTTTCTAGAGTAAATATTTGTACCGTGACGTAATTTTTACAATGTAAGCGAATATAAAAAATAATAGTATTCATATGTATCGAATCTTTAAGTTCAAGAATGGTATGAGATTATACAAATTTGCAAAAATAATTAAATCAAACTGACATCTTAACATTTGTAAAGAAAGGTGAAACTATTAGGTATATTCTGAAAGAGCATTCTACAAGACTAAAGTTGTGGTGTTGCGACTTAAAATAACTTCTTCATAGCGTGGGATCATAATTTGTGATAAAGACAGTCAATTTATTTGTTACAAAACTGTATACAATACTAAAAGTCAAATGTGGTTTACCTAGAATTTTTTTTCTGACACAATATAATCATTTTTCTTTGGTTAAAATGTCATAGTTTTCCAACTGTTTTGCTGCTTTCCTTTGTAATTTTACAGTGGCAACCACACCACTTGTGACACAAACACCAAAAGTGGATATATGATGAAATATTAGATGTATTTTAAGAATGTCATGTTGAACAATTAAAATCTGGTTGATTATCCCCACCAAACATTTGATGGCGTCATCGCCAAAACTTATTAAACAAGTGTTTGGTTAAAAATAGGCTTTGGAATGCTACATTCTTCACTGTTTAGTAATATAACTATTTATATTTGTTAGTAGAAATCAGTTAATTTTACTGATTAAATAAAAATGTGTATCCAATTTTCTCAAAATTGATGTCATCATGAAATTTTATTAAGAAAATCTCACTTAACACATACAAAATATACATTATATATAAAGGTTTTGTCAAAAAATCAGTACCTATAAGAAAAACCTTGACTTGCACTGGATCACAGTTATGAAAGCGAGGTAAGTACTCTCAAAACTCTTTACATTAATGTTTTATTAAGTCAAAAATGATAACTGTTAAATTTAATTTTTAAATAATCTGCTGTTTGTTCAAAATGACTGATAAAATAGCAATTATCAGCTGTCAATATACTAAAGAGAACGTACACATTTTTTTTTTATAAAAAAAAATTATTGCGAAATATGTGACCAACAACCAGAAATTTTCTGATATTTTTCAATTCTTCTACGTAAAGCATACGGTCCAAAATGAGATGGATAACAAATAGACTCTGGCTTGTTCCGCATCTTTCAGAGTCTGTAACTAAAATATAATAGCAACGAAGGTTCAAATATTTTTAATTTCACATGTCACTGGATGTAATAAACATTTATGAAAACCCTGTATTTGCTTGTTATGGTTTGAGATATTAATGAGTAGTACAAATAAGTATCTCTAGTTGTCGTTCAAACTGATTTTTAATAAATTTGCTCGTTGATAGTAAATGAAATATCAACAACTACAACAAATTAGCAAATATTGGTCAAACAGTAATAACTTAAACCAGTTTTGACGTGTAAAAACACTCAAGAAACAAATGATGATGATTAGTATGTAAACCTATAGAATTTACTAACACTGCAGAAAATTTTTCTCAGCTCTCTAAAATATGTACGTTCACTGCCAGAAGCTAAATTTAATATTACACAAAAAAAAAATTAAAATGATTGTTGTTTGAACAAAGGCCCTAGAGCAAGAAAACAACGTATTCACGATATCTTTTTAAGAATACAAAAGCAGAAACCTCAACGGAATAACAAAAATATCAGGATAATCGCACGTTTGTTGAAGAGCATTTTTATCTTCAATTTATAATGAGACATTGTCAATATACAATGGGGATCAGAACAGTATTGATCTAAAGCAAAATTTAATATGATGGATGAATATTGGAAACACTTGAAAACCTGTTTAAAGTATTATTATTTATTATTCACGTCTAACCCCTCATAATTATGTCATAAAATTTCAGTGGATATAGCAATAACGTGTTGAGGTTAGAACAGTTGTCTTGTTTAATGTCTATTTTCATGGTATTTTTAAATTTCGTCTCTGATAAAATACGAAAACGTGGGACCTTCATTTTGGTTTGTCTGTTGGAAATTTATTGAAGTCTTTGTGAGACCAACGTAGAAGTTTCTAGGCTCACCGTCAAGTTGGCGAGGCGGTAAATCTAATACTATTAAACGAGCAAAGTTTGTATATATATATATATATATGTAATGGGTTTCTCGAAAACGGCTCTAACGATTTCGATGAAATTTACAGGTTAGGGGTTTTTTGGGTCAAAAAATCGATTGATCATAGTTTTAACTTCTGAAAATTACAGCTTCATACATTTTCAGCAATTTTCAGGCGGTGAATTATATTCGTTGCTAGGTAACATCGGATGACACTAGACGAACACGAGATTGTTTTATAAGAGAAGTTTGGGTGACAGTCTGACAGTACGTTTGACGTACCTTTTTATCTTCAATTGTACGTACCGAAACATACTCTACTGTATAGAGGACGTTAAAATTCACCCTCTGAGGTGACAAAATTTACGGAAAACTAAACAGTGAGCGGATAAAAGGCACACGAAAGTGCGTTGAGTTAAGGTTATGTTGTCAAGCATTCATTTCAGAGGTTCCACGGTCAGGGTAAATATGTGATCGTTTTCCGGGATGGGACCGTGTTATTTCAGTTTTTGGGCTCAACTTTTCGCACACTTTCGTAAGTGGCATCTTCGGGAGCAGGGTTGAGATTGAGAAATTAGGAATAACGCAAAAGAGCACGGTAACTCAGTATGTTAATCACACCAGAGGCGAAACCATTCTGGCAGTAAGAAAGTGGTTGTGACCTTTTTCTAGAGTCGAGAGAGAGAACTAGGAAAAAAAGAGAACGACAGAGAGAGAACTTGGGTAACAAATGAGATTTTAATAAAAATGTCAAGCAATAATTCCAGTTTTCTATTCTTTAATCTCTACATGTCACTCATCACTATTTAAAACAAAGACTGCTTATGGAATTTCTTTTTTAATGTGTATTTTTAATTAGCGCGTGTACTTCAAAATGCATACTATACGCATATTTATCTGTCCTAATCTGATCTAATACTACCAAACGAGCCGAGTGAAGCTCGGTCAACCAGATATTAAATTTATTATTATCTCCTCCAAAGAGCTAGTGACGTCATTTCAAAATTTGACAAGGAAATCTCGTTTAAAATGTGAAGCGTAACATGTTATGCACCTATAAGTTAATAATCTGTTTCACTTTTAGTTTTATGCATACTACCACTACTAATTTCACTATCAAATGTTATAAATTATTTATGAAACTACTTGATAGTCTTCTTCGAAATTGTGGTAAGGTTAACAACCAAAGTGTACAGAGTTGAAAACATCTCAAGAAAAGTAAATAAAAGAATTGCCGTGGTAGGTAAATATGATATGATAGGGATAGATGGTTTATTTTTAGCTTACAAACACATCTTAAAAATACGACATCGATTTATTTTTATGATTTTAACCCAAAAATGCTTATCTAATTTCGTCGAAATTGATAGAACGTCGTAAAGTGGGTTTAGAGTACGATTGTGCAGATCAGTTTGAATCTTATTACTGTTGCCAAAAAAAGATTTTTATTTATACTTATAATCATAACATGAGTTTTATCTTTATTTTTTTGCCTTATTAAACCAGAAATTATATTCAAAAATTCAAATCGTCATTTTAATGTTAGACATCAGTTCATAAAGTTTTATACTTATTGTTAACTGTTTTTAGAGAATTATCTGTCTTGTTATCTGTTGAACAAAAACTA